TTTTTTTTTTTTTTTTTTTGGATGAAAAATGTTCCTATTGGGAATGGCAAGATGAAGGGCTTTCTTGTAGAGTTTCAAATCTCCTATGCAGTTTAAAGAAGGAAAAGGAAGGTATACTCCGTGAAAGAAATGCTCTCCAAAGGAAAGTTGCCGATCTTGAGAATGTTATGATGCTCGTCGATCATGGAGGAATAGAAGCCTCGGAATTGGAAAGAAATGTTCTAATGAAGAAAGTGGGCTGATCTAGAGTACTCAGTTGTGCTTGATGCTAAATTTCAAAAGAAGATGTGGATTTTCATGTGTGTGATATTTGGATGTTTTATTTTGTTCTTTGGATCATGGAGAAATGATATGTAATGTTAGTATTATTGTGGCTTAATTGTTGTCTTTTGTTATGTAGTGAAGCTTTATGTTTTTGTACAAGGATTCAATGAAGTCATTCCCATTAATTTGAATATTTGTGTTTATGACTAAGTTTATTTGCTATGATAATTAGTTTGGTGTTGTCAATAAGTGTATAAGTAAACAGGTTTGGAGTAGTCAAGTAGGTGTCTAAGTAAATTGATATGGAGTTGTGAAGTGTTTGAGAAATAGCTATCATAATTGACTCATATATGCCTCTGTACAATTCGAACAGGGTCTAACTTTGCCCTCACATATATTTGTTGGGGGTGGGGCAGAGGGTGCGGTAGGGAAAAAAGAGGGGCGGGGGTAACTTTTTAAATCCAGGTATCTTTTTTAATTAGGTTTTGGATTTTTAAAATACAAAATTTTATTCCACGTAGATTTATGAGTCTTCCGTCGGTGATGAGGACATATACGAGCCCATTTGTTCACGACAAGGGCAGATTAGAAACCAACTTTTAACGGAGGACTAGACTGTCCTATTTCACATAGTAAAATGGCATTTTAGGCCCTTCTCCGCTGTATATAACATACAAAATATATGTGTATATATATATATATAGAGAGAGAGAGTGTGTCTTTTTCCCATATTATTATTACGCTTCTTAGCAATTTCAATTTCAAATCCAGATAATTCCTGTAATTAATGCTTCTGATCCATATAACAATATAAATTGAACGAGGTTCTTTACCTGATTTGGGGCGACCAAAACAACGAATTTCTTGGTTCGTTGAGTAGTTTTCAAATCCACACAACTCAAATTTTGCTTCACAAGTTGTACAATTCGGCACACTCCATGTCAAGCTTAAACCAAACAAATCTGAATATTTTAAATCATTCGATGCTATAGAGAAATTTCTAGCAGTAACGTTACACCCAGGCATATATTTTTCATAATCTGAGCCATCATAAAAGGCTAATAAATCAGTTGTGTAATTGCTAAGGCAATCAACAACGAGTGATCTGAAGGTCAATGGATACTCTGACGGACAACTTAGGATAGTGTAATTCACAATCACATAAGCTTCGAAAGGAGAAGAAGAAAGATTCAAGTCCATTAATCGACGCGCAAGGCAATTATCAGCGTCGTAGAGTTTAATTTCTGGATTGGAATATCTGATAGTTTGGACTAAAAATTCCCCAGAAAAAGGAAGATTAAGAACTGTGTATCCTTGGCTATTGCATTTGAGATTAAAGCCAGGATAGCCACAATTTTGAGGCTGTTGGTTTTCTAGGTAAAATGGGAATCTTATAGGGAACTTATTTTTAGGACAATATGATTCTGAGCAATCATTTTTGGCATAGACAACCAAAAATGGCAAGAAAAGAATGAGCAGCACTTTCAGGATATCCATCACACGTTTTACAACAAAGTTTGTATAGAGAAATATAATATAAATACACTCCACCAAGGGGTGTTGTGGGAGGATGGGACCCCTCAGACCCTAATGGCCAGAGTCTTCAGATTCGAGTTTTGGGAACCGAAAAACTCTGAAGATGAAGCACTTTCCCTTTAAATAGTTTCTACGCGATGCGAATCTGAATTAGTTAGCGTGCGTATATCTGATAGTTATACGACAAAATAAAGTATAAGTACATATACACATATCTATAATGCAACTATGAATTGAAAATAATAACGTTTGTAGTCCTTTTCTTGATCATTTCTATCGGCTGACATTCCTCTTAAAGTGCCATAGGACTTCTTCTCAAAGTCAAAGTTTTATAGGGTATAGAAGTTCATTATATAATGGTTGATGGATACTTCTCCAATACTATAGATTGGAAATGTTCGTAGAGAATGATATGTGACGCAAACTACTTAATTTGGAGAACAAAATTGTTTTAACTCAAAGATAAGTCCATTAATCTTTTGATAATTCTTGCTTACATTAATTTTCCCCTCTTATAATTTATACTAGTACTTAGTGATGTTAGGTTGACTCACCCTTCTTTTTTTTTTCAATTATCAGCTAACAACAAAATTTGGCCAGTAGGCCTGTCATTGGAAAAATGAGAATAAGAATAAGAATAAGAATCTTTGATTTGAAATTTTATACGTATCTTATACTAGTTAGTACTACTGAAGACCAAATGCTGGAGAGAGAGAGAGAGAACAGTAAAATAAAAAATAAAAAGAAAAAATATACAAAGAAAAATCTTGGAACATGAGTGAAATTCGGATTAAAGAATTAAGGAACAACAAAGACTAAAGAACTGTAAATTATTTGAGTGGAGGTCCCAACAACCAATAAGCTTGGACAGCTTCTAAAACCAACATAACATTGGAACGGTGATTCGGATATATCGATTTTAACAAGTTTGGCCAATTTATTTTTTTCCGGCCAAAAGTGGTTTTTCAAAACATTGAGTTGTTTGGCCAAGCTTTTAGAAAGAAAAAAAAAGTATTTTTGAGGAGAAGCAGAAATAATTTTTGAGAAGTAAAAAAATATAGTTTCTCTTCAAAAGCACTGTAAAAGGTGGCCTTATTTTTAGGCTTTTTATTTGTGAGCCTTGTTGGCACATTTGGAGCCTTTTATTTAAGTCCTTGTTGGCCAAATAAATGGCCTTGTATTTTGAGAGGATGTGGCCAATTTGAGAGGATGTGGCCAATTGTTGGCCAAGCATTTCTTTCTTCTCTTCCTATATAATGAGGACTCTCTACTCATTTGGAAACACACCAACAAGACTTGAGTCTTCATTTCTTGTTTCTTCCTTTCTTCCTTTATTAAGAGTGTTTTGTATGAGAGTTAGTGTTGGGAAGCACTTGTGTGAACCCTTTCTTTGGAGTGATCTTGTGAGGTTATTCCCTTAGGGTATTTGGGATTAATTAGAGTATTTACTCTAATTTTGTACTCTTATTGTTATAGTAAATTACCCCTCTCCCCTTGTGGACGTAGGTCACTTTGACCGAACCACGTTAAATTTATGTCTTCTTTATCTACTTTAATTGTCGTTGTTATCAACTTCCATTGTCTTTGTTATTGCCATTATACCGTTGTTTGGCTATATTCCGCACTACCCGGGTTCCCGATCCTAACAAGCACTTTTCTAAGAAGCATTTTTATGAAAAATACACTTAGAAGTAGTTTTTAAAAGATTAGTCAAACACTAATTATTGCTCAAAAGTATTTTTTAAATTAATTAGTCAAACACAAACTGCTTATCACCAAAAGTACTTTTTTAAAAAGTACTTTTGAAAAAAATATTTTTCAAAATAAGCTAATTTTAGAAACTTGGCCAAACAAGCTATAGTAGATAAGACAACAACAATTACTTTTTTTTCTTACTCTTTTCTTCGGGGCTTATACGTTGCTAATTTAATAATTGGACAAAATATAAAATTGGTCGGTCGATCAAAACTAATTGTATTTGTTAGCTAAAAAATATAAAAATATGTATATAACACTTATATACAAAAATATATATTTTATTAGTTAATTATTTTTTGGGAGCATCTAAAAATATACACTATATTTTGGAGGTCCGGAAAACCCAGTGCCCTGCACAGGTCGAGATACATGAGAATTGCTATATTAAACAGCAGAAGATGGATGACACAAGCAGGCTATTGTAACTAATAGGACTAGAACAATTTTTTATGAGGAGACATGCTTGTGAAAGCTAAAGAATAGTTGACAACACCAATGAAAATAGAGAGAACATGCCGGTCAGTTAGTATTTCCTAATAGGTTTTAAAAGTTTTGCTAGAATATCATACTACAATGCACTTGATCAACTGTACATGTTCTTGTCATCTACTAGTTGACATTATAATCTACTTTTTTCCTTTGTGTGAACTGTGAAGGCATACTATTACCATCATATATAACATCAAGTAGTTGATATTGTATTTTACTTTATTTCCTTGAGTGTGAGGTAATACTATATTCATCCTCATACATCAACAGATTGGGCCAGTCAATTGTATCAACACCGTAGTTCTGTATAGCGTGCCGCACACATATGACCTCTCACTAATATAAAAAGAAAAGATAAATTTTTGAGAGAATAATCTCCCATAAACTAAGTATAATAATTTATTATGGTTTGGTCAATCGACCTATATATGATCTATCACTAATATAACAAGAGAAGATAGATTTGTTGAGAATAATCTCCCCTAAACATGATTTTGGTGAAGACTACATTGTGGAGGTTGTTGTTGTTATTTGAGAAGGAAGCCTTACTTTATAGAAGTGCAAAACTTCTCTTCTAAGAAAAGGATAAGGCATATGAAGGAAATTTAATCCTTTTAGGAATCCTTTTTTCCTTCCTTAAAGAAAGAGAGTCCTAATAGATTAGAAATTCAGGGCAAAATCCTAACAATTCTCCCCTTGGTCTGAATTTTCTTGACAACACTTGATCCGCCTTCTTCACATAATCTTCATCACCGTTGCTTGCCAGGATTAAAAATAGGTATAGATTGAAAAATCTTGTTATTAGTTGAAAGAAGTGTTGAGTATTGGGGTTTTGATGATTAACAAAGTGTGTCCAGAGAATATGCGCTAAGAACCATGTGCTCAAGGTAGCTGATGATGTACACTAAGAACCAGAGCCTCAAGATCTTGTTGAAGGTTTTTACAAGGAAGTAACTTTTTCACAAAGTTACTCTAGTCTGAGATTGTTGGAAGAAGGATGCTAATGTGATAAGGGTCATTGTCCAAGAATATATGCTCGCATAAGTGATAGACAAGAGTCATAATATTTGTGTAGTCCTTGGAACTGTAGGAGTCCTATCAAATGAAAAGTTAACTATGCATAGGACTCCTAAAAGATCTCGGAACCTAGTGAACTTAAATACTTTCCCGATGGACTGAGGACATCACCCTTTTGCACGTTAACTGTGGAACAATATTTTTAACACTTAAGTCGATTACTAGTCTTAGTGTTCTTTTTGAGTCAGTTAGTGAATGTGTATTAGGAAATCGAGTTGTAATCAAGGTGTCATACATAATCTGTGAGTTGAAGTAATTGTTTGAGTTTGCAAGTTAGAGTAACTTGTAAGTCAAATAGTGGGAGTAGGAGAACTGTGTGGGTACTAATTTACAGGTCTTGTAAGTCAATACATTTGGCTCATTTATTTTAGTGAAGTTGAAGTTAAAATCTTATGTGGTAGGTCGTGATTTTTGCACCTTTGAGTCAGATGATTTTCCATGTAAAAATTGATGTCTTTATTTTATTGTTTATATCGTTTACATCTAAGGAGTAAAGTAAATAACCAAGTTCATTAGTAATTTAGGAAGGCAATCAAACTAACAATTGGTATCAAAGCCAGGTTCTCTCACACGTGGTTAACACCTAGAGAGATCTTGGAAGCAAAATGAGTGTCCCACCTAGGATTAACGAAGGACAATCAACTATCATACCACCTCTGTTCAACGAAAAATACTACAGTTGGTGGAAGGAAAGAATGGAGAATTTTCTGATGGCTGAAGACTATGAACTATGGACAATTGTGAAACGAGGACCACTAACTCCCATCAAACAAAATGGGCAAAATAAAACGGTTCCCAAAGACTCCTCTGAATTCGTGGCAGAAGATTTCAGAATGGTGGAGAAGAATGCAAAGGCCAAGAAGATCCTCATCTGTGGTCTTGGTCATGATGAGTACAACTGTATATCTGCATCCTCTAATGCAAAGAAGATCTGGAATGCACTTCAAACTTCTCATGAAGGAACAAATCAAGTGAAGAGATCAAGGATTGAATTGATTATGTGGAACTATGAGCTCTTCTCCGTGAAGGAGTTTGAACTCATCCAGGAGATGATGACTAGGTTTACCATAATAACAAATTAACTGAAATCACTAGGAAAGGTATTCCTTTCTGAAGAGTTGGTTAGCAAGGTTCTAAGGATTCTCCCAGCTTCATGGGAATCAAAAGTCACAGCCATCCGGGATGCAAAGGAGTTGGATAAGATTTCATGGATGAGTCATTGGAAATTTAAAGACTCATTAGATGAGAAAGCTGAAACTGCGCAAGGAGAAACCAAAGAGGGATAAGGCCTTGGTTCTTAAGGAATACGAATAAGATAATTCTGACAATGATGATCTAAACCTAGCAATGTTTGCTAAGTTCAAGAGGTTTATGAAGAATTCTAAAAAAGTATCTAAGAGAGAAAACTGTGGAAAACCTAAGGAGATTTATAAAACTTCATACAATGGGTGTTACAAATATAACAAGCTAGAACACATGGTCAAAAACTTCCTAATGTAATGGAAGAAAGAAAGAGCTAAAAAAGAGAAAAGGAAAAAAATGAAATAGAAGGGCCTAAACAAAGGCAAAAATCCTAGGCAAAGGATTCGCTGAAGCCATCAAACAAGCTTTTCTAGCAGCATATGAGGACAATGAAAGTGATAAAGAGGAAGAGAAGGAGGACGAGATTATAAGACTTTATGTTGTGATAGATGCACACCAGGCAGTGGAGACTAATCTCCCGGTACAGCTAGGAATGCACATTAAAAGACCTTCTCTGTTTGATGGACACCACTATGATGAATGGAAGATGCGTATGGAAACGTTCCTTCAGGACAGTGATTTCGACCTATGGATAATTTTCAATCATGGGACAATTATCCCTACCAAAGTGGATAGTGAAGGAAATAAAAGTATCAAAAAAGAGGAGGATTATGATGATGAGGATCGTCAGATGATCCAGAAAAATGCTAAAGCAAAGGATCTGCTCTATAGAAGTTTACCAAGGAGTGTTCTCTGCAAGGTGTCCTCTTTCATCTCTACTCATGATATATGGAGGACATTGGAGGCTGATTTTAAAAATAAAAAATATTGAAATTTCTCTAATGGCAATTAAAGAAAACCAAGCATAAGATGAAGTAATAGGGCTTATGGTTATGAATGACTCAGAGGCTAAAGATGAAACAAACCAGGTAGTATTTTTAACTTGAAAGAAAATATCTATGCTATGTCTAAAAATTAGCTAATTGCCATAATAGTGACTGTGATGAGTGAGATGTATAGGTTGAATGATGGAAATAATCAGTTAATAAGCAACATTTCATGTGTTAAGTTTGAACTTAATAAACTTGAATCTGACAAAGTTGATCTTGAAGGACATGTCAAAGATCATAAGACCCGGTTCTTTCTAAAATGAACAACAACCTGATGCACGTGGCAAGGGAATAATGATTGATCTGCAAGACAATCTTGGAAATGAATTAAAACTGCTTAAAGACAGTTCTTGTGATGCTGACTGTAGGAATAAAGTATTGCAATAAAATATTGAAAAGGTAAATTATGAACTATCTAGGCTAAGCAAGTGGCATAGATCCCCAGATGTACTAAATTGGCTAAATGAAAATTGTGGCACTAACAAATCAAGAATTGGCTATAGAAAATATGTACCAGGTTTGATCCCATGTTTGTAGGAATTTATGATAATAAGATGTGCACTCACAGTGGGAAGGTAGGACACTTAAGAGATACTTGTCCTGCTTTAATTCATGCTTAGTTTAAGAACACCTTTGGGCTATTTAAATATGTAGAGAAGGAAGAAGAACCCACAGTCAATTCCTTTGTCCAAACTAAGTGGACTAAGGTCAATAAGAAAAGAATTGTTAACACCTTTGGGCTATTTAAACATGTCTCTTCTTTCGACCGAGCATACATGTTTAAGTGTAGTGGAAGATGACCCACTATTATAGCATACAAGACTGGGGCATGCCAGTCTATCTCAACTTAGCAAGTTGGTAACCAAGGACCTGGTCCTTGTGATCTCGTCTAAGTTCACACCTCAATTCGAGGTTATAAAAACGGTCGATGCAATAATAGTACCCAACAAGAGTCGGGGTCGAATTCTTCAGGGAGCTATATGTATGAGATTTAGTAGTATATATCTTAGCGTGTGAGTTTGTATATTTAAATTTGTACTTTCGCAAAAATTGGTTGTTTTAAAGTTTAATCTAAACTACAATTGCAATTTAAGAAATAAAACTAGAAGACTGCTTTTGTTGTTTTTCAAATGTTGTAAAAGGCCTAGGGCTATGACCTTCACCTAGGTGTTTGCCTAACGGGTTGTAAACTTTAAATCTTGTTTTATTGGTCGGGGTGTATTATATCTATCAACACTCGGTTACCCACTCAATACCTCTCGGTCAAACAGTGATTTTGCCGAATTTGGCTTTCTCAAGTCCAAATGGGTATTGAACAAAACGATTGATAAAAAGCTCAAGTTGGGTTTTACTATCCCTAGATTAAACCTTTTAATTGGTTTATTCAATCTCTCGATTGACCCAATTTCTTGCTAGTCAAGTTTTTCTAGACTAAGTCTCTCTTTATCAAGTAGAGACCAAGTCAAATAGGCATGAACTAATGTTTGCAATAATTAATTCTTCAAATCAAAGCAAGAACAAGGCTAAATAATAAACATTCAACCATAAACAAGCAATAAATCAAACACCCATTAAGTTTACACACTAGGGTTGGGTTACAACCCTAGTGAAAATCTAGCTACTCATACTTAAAATGAAAGAATTAGGAGAAGAAATGATAATTAATCTCATATTGTCAATTAAATTGATAAACTCTATGTTCAAAAAGCTCAAAATAGCAAAAACTACTAAAAAGAGTAAAAGGAACCGTCTACTGCAGCAGCTGATGTCAAAAAAATTAACCTAAAAAGTGAAACTCTTCTATTTATACAGGGCTGGAATTTTCGGAAAAAAATGCCCCTTTTCAGGTTCTGAGGCCGCACAATTCCATGTGCGGTCCGCACTTTTCTTCAGCTTGACAGGACTGGAAGCAGATGCACTGCACTCTTTTTGTGGTCCGCACAATTGTAAGTGTGGTCGAACCTTGTTCTTTTGCGGTCCGCACAAATGTGACTGCGGTCGCCTAGCTCTTCTTCGGCGGCCGCACAATAATTGTGCGGTCCGCACTTTTGGTGGACTTGAGATGCAGGTTCTCTAAACTTTTGCTCTGACCCAATTTTTGCAGCCGTACACTTTATGTGCGAACCGCACTTTGCAACATTCTCTGATGGAAGATTCTTCACAACCTGCGGCCGCAGATGATATTTTGCGGTCCGCAGTTCTGAGCTTTTGTGCCTATTTTTGTCCTTGAGTTCAGATTACTCCTTCTTGAATTGGATTTCATCTCGAGATCTCATCTTGCAATATTCCTGCAATTAAGTACATTTTATCAGTTTTCGGGAACACAATTAAGCGCTTTTGGACTAAAACGAAAGCTAAAGGGCGCTAATAAGTAGTCAAAATCCCCACAAATCAACTCCCCCAAACGTAAGCTTTTACTTGTACTCAAGCAAATAAAGTAGTTCCCACCTCCACAATCTAGGAGCCATTGCAGCTAATCAAAAGTGAATCAATCACACATCAATTGGGACCAACAATTATCCACACCGCTTATGAATTATCAACAAGGCAACAAGTTAAACCTTTAAGCAGAAATAGTTCTAGCGTGACACTTGAGCATCAAGAGTTGACTTTGTTCATCAAGGAAACTCGCTCTTTCATGTAGGTTATTATGGATCCCAAACTCCTCCCCCCTCTACTCTCCGTTTGCCTATCTCACTTAAGAATATAGCACTCAATACAAAGATTTGTGAAAGGTTTGTTCATCTCTCTCAAAAGAATGTCGCAAGTACGGCTTTAAGTACCATAGGCTTGTCCCTCATATAAATCAC